CTGCCGCCTGCGCCCCGGGGTCCCCGCGGGCGGAGGGGGCGAGGTCCCCGGGCGCCCGGGGGGTGGGTGCCGGAGCGGCGGAGACCCTGCAGGAGGGAGGAGCGACACAGAGGTGGGGGCTGCCCGGTGTCCCCAGGCCCCTGGCGGGGGGCCCCGCAGAGGCGCAGGCCCAGCCTTCGTGGGGTTGTTTTTTTGTCGCTCCTTTAATCGAGTCGCGAAGAAAGCGCCTCGAACAGGCCGAGCCTCGCGGTGTGGGCGGCAGCTGTGCCGCCGGAGCGCCTTGGGCCACCCGACCCACTTTCTCTCCTCGGGGTTTCCAGGTGTCATCGGACTGGTGGCCCTGTACCTGGTATTCGGCTATGGAGCCTCTCTCCTCTGCAACCTGATAGGATTTGGCTACCCAGCCTACGTCTCGTAAGTGGCTCCCCCTGCGACTGCCCTTTTTCTCCCCTCCCTGTCCGCATCTAGGGCTGCTGTGGTAGCCTGTAGGCGCCACTTCCTTGGAGGGAAGCGCCCTAGAGGGTGACACACTGTGGTCCCTTAACTTGATCCCTGATCTCCTGAGGTCAGCCTGAAGGTATCGTTCATCAGATTATAGTGGTGGACTCTAGAGTGTACCTTCTGGATACACAAGTAGGAGAGGTGGCAAATCTCAACAGGTACAGGGAGCTGATGGCTCCTCTCTAGTAATTATTTCAGCGGGCTTTTCACCGTATATTTATGTGTATAGACTGTAAAACCTCATCAGTTAGGCCTTCCTTAATTCAGAATTATATTGATTTAGATACTGAGTTCTGCCTTCTTTAATTTTTGAACTGTTACAGGCAAATTTGGGAAATGCTTATGCTTCTATAAAAACAAAACCAGCCTTATTAAATGCAATAATAAATTGTAATATAGCTGCTTGGTTATAGAAATGACTCATTTATATAATTAAACAACTAGAAATGAATCCTATAAAATTAGGATCTGAATTTATTACTAATTGAAGTTGTTTTCATTCTCCAATTTGATTTTTTGAAAATATTCTGCAGTTTCATTTTTCTGTTTGTTCAAATAGGAATTATTTTTCTCCACAAATGAATTTTGGTTTACTCTACAGCTCTTCCCAAGAAAGCCAATAGGTTTTACTTTCGTTCAGTGGTCTCTGTCACTTTTTTCAACTGTAGGGATAAAAATAAAGGAAGACAAAATTTTCAGCTGGCAAGGCTAAGCCACAAAGAACACCTTATTACACCCTGCGTCTATCACTGGTCAGGCTAGAACATAATATATGACTGGAGGGAAGAAACATGTTTTGGAAGTTAGTTCTGATTTGAACAATTAAGTTGCAGTTACATAAGTAGTTGTTAGTTTGGTGCAAATATAGTCATACTCCAGAAAGTCTAGCTATACATAGGACAGTGCTTGCTTATGAGATCCTCAGTCTTCAAGGTGACAAGAGCTTTTACCCTCTTGTATTACCTGCTAAAGCACCATCCAGGTTTTATCTATATACCAGAAGATTCCAAAGGCAGACCAGGGAAACTGGTTTGGCTTTCAGACCAATGAAAAAGGTATAAGAATAGCAGTTTTTCATTAAAAAAAATTTTTTTTTGAGTCCGGGTCTTATTCTGTTGTCTAAGCTGGAGTGCAGTGGCACTATTATGGCTCACTGTAGCCTTCAACTCCTGAGTTCAAGTGATTTTCTTACATCAGCCTCCTGAGTAACTGGGACTACATGTGCTACCACACCTGACTAAGTTTTAAAATTTTTTGTAGATACAAAGTCTTGCTATGTTGCCCAGACTGGTCTTGAACTTAGGCAATCCTATTGCCTCAACCTCCCAAAGTGCTGGGATTACAGACATGAGCCAGTGCCCCAGGCCACATAAAATTTAATTTACTGATGAATGGTATATAAAAAGTTTGTAGGAAACCCTGATTCAAAATGACTTGAACATACATCACTGTGCCTGTGATAACACAAAATAATCCAGTGATATATGATACAATGACATAATGATACTCATAATAATGAGTATCTCTAGAGTGGTACACACTCCTTTACTTTCCTTTTGTTTGTGTATGCTGCTTGCATTTCTTTTAAAAAGAAAGATTATGATGTGTTTTTTTCAGGTTTGTGCTTTAGATTTTATTGCTCACATTTAGAACAAATCTTGGGTGGCAGTTTAGAAACTGTCTAGCTGCTTAATACTGAACCAGAAAGGAGTGTAGGAATAAAAAAAATACTATCCAACATAAACTATTTTTTCCTACCTGAGTGCCATTTGGCACATAATCATGTGAGAAACTTAACCTCCGTTGGTGTGATTAGATTATTTGTGTGGGCTTTGGAAAGGCAAAACTCTGTTTCTAGATGGGATATGTAGATTCTGTGTATGTAGAAATGGATATGTGAATGTGACTGAAGTCACAGAACTAGAGTATGTTTCTCCTTGACCTGAAGTGGATGGATTCTAGCAGAGACCATTTTATTTTATTTTTTATTTTTGTTTTGAGAATGTGGAGCACAGTTCAGGATTAGATATACAAATGGTCATTATAGAGGTAAAGTTTGGGCCTTACTTTGGTCCCCACTTCGCCTGGTTTCAGACCAGGTATGCTTATTGATGAAGTGCCCCCCTCCCCAGCAGTTTCCCTCTACTGCCAATCCTTTTTTATAGTATTATGATAATTGTTCAGGGTCTGCTTATGAGTGAGAACATGTGGTATTCAGTTCTTTGTTTCTGTGACAGATTACTGAGTGTTCTAGACTCTAAATTCATCCAAGTTACTGCAAAGAACAGGGACCATTTAAAATCATACTCTGAGGTGATTTTAAGCCTGGTAATTTTGACTTTATCATTTGTTTGTAGTCATTGTTTGATTCACTTTCAACAGAATCAGTTAAATATTATCGGTTCTTTAATAACTCAAAAAATAACATGCTGGAGAGGATGTGGTGAAAAGGAAACACTTATACACTGTTGGTGGGAGTGTAAACTAGTGCAACCTCTGTGAAAAGCAGTGTGGCGATTCCTAAAAGCTCTAAATATCAACCTCCTGTATGACCCTGCAATCACCCTACTGGGAATATACCCTGAAGAACTCAAATCATTCTATAAAAAAGATACCTGCACACGTTGTTTATCGCAGCACTGTTCACAATAGCAAGTATTGCTGTCCATCAAAAGAGGACTGGATTAAAAAAATGTGGTACATATACACGATGGAATACTATGTAGCCATAAAAAAGAACAAAATCAGCTGGACTCGGTGGCTCAGCCTGTAATCCCACGCCTTTGGGAGGCTGAGGTGAGTGGATTGCCTGAGCCCGCAGGTTCGAGACCTGCCTGGGCAGCGAGACCTCATCTCTACAATAAATCAAAAAATCAGCCAGGCATGGTAGCGCGTACCTGTAATTCTGGCTACTCGGAAGGCTGAGGTGGAAGGATCGCTGGAGCCCAGCAGGCGAGGCTGCAGTGGCCGGGAGCAGTCACTGCACTCCAGTCTGGGCGACCGAGTGAGACTCCAACTCAAAAAAAAAAAAAAGGAAAGAAAAGGATCGACAGTGGTGGGAATCTATGGGGGAGGGGACAGGGAGGGCAAGAGTAGTGGGATTAATGGTAGTCAATATCTGTCTGGGGACGGGGGGGGAACACCCCTTATCAACAAGGGTGCCTGAACAACGCATATTTGTATACCTAACCCTTAACTGTACCCCACAATATCAAAATAAAAAATATCGTTAAAAAATAAATGAATAAATAAAAATATTATCGGTTCTTTTTACTTACAAGAAGCTAAATGTTTCTGTCACTTACTGGTGTGTTTATGAAATCGTAGAGAAGATCATTTTTTTTTTTTTTCGTGAGTTGAGGTCTCACTCTGCCACCCAGGTTGGAGTGCAGTGCACAGCTAACTGTGGCCTCCAACTCCTGGGCTCAGACCATCCTTCCACCTCAGCCTCCTGAGTAGCTAGGACTACAGACACATGCCACCACACCTAGCTAATTTTTTGATTGTTGTAGAGGTAAGGTCTCACTCTGTTGCCTAGGGTGGTCTCAAACTTCTGGGCTCAAGCAATCCTCCTGCCTCAGCTTCCCAAAGTGCTGGGATTACAGGTGTGAGCCACTGCACCTGGTCAGAAGATCATATTTCTGAGTAGCATGAGGAAGTGGGTTTTACATTATTTGAGGATTATTCTATTCACCAAACATTTAACTTTCTTTCCAATTAGTGACCTTTGTAGTATACCTTAGTATGATTTAAAAAAAAAATCAAGAAATAATATTTAGTGAGTATCTCTAGATTGGTTTTTATTTATAGGTTTCTTCCTTTTGGTAGATCAAACTCTTATCTTTAAAATAACTCAGATTTTAAAGTGTCAGTACAGGATTCTGACTGTAAGGGAATGAAGTAAAGATTGGTCTCTGTGAGTACCTGGACTTTTCCTTGAATCAGTGGTTCTCAGCCTTGGCTATCCATTGGAATCATTTGAGGTTTTAAAAAAAAATACCCATGCTGGCCTGGTCTTACTGCCATAGATTTTGATATAATTGGTCTGGAGTGTGCCCTGGGTTTGGGAGTTTTAAAGGCTCTTCAGTCTTTTGTAAAGGATTCTAATGTGTTGTCAGTGTTGAGAATTCTAGTATGTAGCAGCAGCAATAACCTATGCTTTTTGTACTTGAAGATGGGGTGACAAGGAGGTTAGAATAGCCTGCTGACCCTGGGAAGAGTCTAGAGGTCTACTCAGGACTCCACTTTGTGAAGAAGGTTTAAGGAAAATTAGAATTGTGGGCACAGGATAAAGCAAACAGACCCCAGTTAGTAAACATTCAGGCAGTCAATGTTATATCAGTCTAATCAAATCTGTTCATTGGTTAACCCCTGTGATTTTATGTTTGTCCTAAAAGAAAGAAAATCCTTGAAAATGGTGGTCTTTAGTAACAACTAAATCATTGTTGCTTTTAGTGTGTGATCTGTGACCACTATCTTAGTCCATAGCAAAACACTTTAGACTGGGTAAGTTGTAAACACTAGAAATATATTGCTCACAGTTCTGGAGGCTGGGAAGTCCAAGATCAAGGTGCCAGCAGATTTGGTGTTTGGTTGAGGGCCAGTTCCCTGCTTCAAAGATGGCACCTTCTTACTGAACCCTCATGTGGCGGAAGGGACAAACAGGCTCCCTCAAGCCTCTTTTGTAAGGACATTAATTCCATTCATGAGAGCAGAGCCTTCATGACTTAATCACTCCCTAAAGGCTCCACCTTTGAATTCTATTATGTTGAGTAATAGGTTCCAATATATGGCTTTGGGGGAAACACCAACATTCAGACCATGACAGTCACCTTCACTTTAATTATTCTCCATACCTCTTATAATTTCCTATACTTACCAGTCAGAGTTATTTTAAAAAAATACAGGTTCAT